TGTGTTTGGGGGTTTTTCCACAGTGGTGGAAAAACTGGACAGGAGAACCTGTCCAGTAGCTTAATGTGATCTGTCTAGCATTGCCTCTTCTGGTTGTGGGGTCTTTTTCTAGGTAAATGTTTTTATTTTGTTGGGGTTTTGTACCCTTATTTCATGTAATTGTGCAAAATAATAATTGGTATTTTTTCAATTGCATTGCTTTCCCCACAGTTCTGAATAACAGCAGTAAAAATGATGGAAAGATTAATCATTTTCTTCATAAGAAAAGTACTAGAAGTACAAATAATATTTTAATGCACCAATACACATAGTCCCTTCCCCTTCAGATTTTTTTTTTTCCTTGTTGTTCACAAAGTGGTAATTATCCTTACAACCTAGAGGGTTAGACTAGGAGTTCAAAATATACTGTCTTCTGTTTCATTAGCTGGTAAATACTTAACACTTCTCCTTTTCCCCATTTTCATTAAAAGATAATAATTTGGCCTTCTCAATCTTGGCCAGATTTAAAGGTGGTACAGACCCAAAAGAGCTTGGTGTATTACATAAGCAATCTTCTGAGTGAATTTTCTTATTATGCTTCAAAACTACCTTGTTTTTTAAACTAGTAAGAAAGGGTAGGTTCCACAAAGCCTTAATTAAGACTTGTGCCCAGTCCCACAAACCTCTACATAAGAGAACAAAATTTCATTAAATGCTTGATAAAGAAACTTGTATCTTCCCCTTCATCCCTCTTTTCCTCTTTGAATTTATGGTCAATTCATGTTTTTAATTATTAGTAGGTTGTATAAGAAAAAAAGAGAAACATGGGGAAAAGTGTTTACATGGTCTTATGAAAAGAAAATCTCCATATTTTGCAATGCAGCCGGAATCAAATACTGAAATAGCTCTGTGAACTGTATAGGTTATTAGTGTAGCTACATAGTAAGCCATATTAATTTTTCCAAGATACTCTTTAAACTTTTTTCAAACTTAAATCGCCTTTACTTGCCCTTGGTTTTGTTTCCGTGTCTTGCAGTGTAAAATGGGAAGAGAATAATGCATTTAAAATGGTGAAGTGGTTTTTGGTTTTGTTTTTTCCCTCAAAACACTGGCTGCAAACTGCAGCTTCGTTCTCTTAATAAGCTTAAGGGCATGTATATTTGCTATTGTTTTGTCCCCTTGTAGAAGATATTCCTAAGTGTTGTTGATAAAAATCTTCCTTACTCTTTTTATAAACACTTGTTGTCCAAACATTCAGCATTTGTAGAAGCTGTCTCCTTTATATTTCTAAATATTGAGATTCAGCCCCTTGGCTACAATTCCTGGGAGACAACCACCTTGCCTCTTGTTCAGTACAAGTTGAAACTGGTATTTGAAGGGATCTCATGTTAGACAAAGACACTTGCATTTTGTTGTATGTTCTTGTGTTATGTTTTAATAAAATATTCATTTTGGGTATTTCTCACAGTTATATCTATGTAGGTATGAATCTACTCAAACATGGCATAACTATTACTGAATTCTTGTGCGTATGTGTAAGCCTGCTCACTAGGTGGATTATGGAAAGGAGAGAGTCATCTATGCCTTTCATTGTGGCTTATCTTATGTGATTCTTAAACATCTTTACTGCAAATGTATCAATAAATAGATTTCCTCAAATAGCATTGGGCAGGAAGTACGATCAAGCTTTTAAAGTAATCTTTCCCCTCTAAGAAAGATTATGGGCAAATTACTCTGGTCTTCTACAGTATCACTTTTGGGACCAGTATTAGCAACTGCAGAGTTGAGTTTTGTTGAAAGCTGGCTAACGAAATGTTGTAAGAGTTCATTGTTCAAGAGTTCATTTTCTCTTTAGGGAGAGTAGAGGAATATTATTTGCTGCATGTTTTTTCAGGCATTTAACTTTGCAGCTGTTTATCAGCAGACTTTCCTTACTTTAAACTCGAGAGCGCCAGGTGACTGGATAAGATTTTCCTATAGAATATGGTTTTGCTAGCAGAAATACAGTAAATTGTGAAATGTTAACTTTTTGGAAAATACATGGGGTTCCCATATCTTTAAATTTTTGTCCAAAATGTATTTCTTTTCCTAGCAGAAGTGGTGTTTCAAAATAGGATCTGTGTATGCCACAGTGTACAGTTAATTTTTTCTTATATCTATGAATGGTCAGTGTGTGTACAGTAACACTAGTTTCTGAATTCAGTTAGGTTCTTTTAGACTCTGATAACACAAACATTTAAAATTGTTTTAGATCATGTATAGTTATTAGTCCTGCAATTGTTGCTGTGGTAACTTACCAGAGTAAAAGAGGAATATCTGATTAAAAAGTGAGCACCCAATTGTAGGTTAAGGTTATCAAAGCTTAGTAAGTGCTACAGTCTCTCTCTCCTTCCTAAGTGGCTTAATGTTAGGTAAAAGATGTAAAAATTACTTTTTGTATTGTGACACATAGCTGTAGCATAGGAAAAATTATCAGAAAGCCTTTGGCTTAGACTTTGCTCAAAAGTTCTAAAGAAGTAACTGAGAATTACTTGGAGATTAATGATTATTGTCTGGCACTTAATCTTTGTCTGCTTCAAAATATGTTACTCTATTGTAGTTTGAAAAGATTTTTTCATGTAAAAGAACACCTTAAAATGTACACCTACTAAAATATGTACTCTTTGTGTTTCTTTGCTCAAAAGGCCATCAAAGATCCCATTATTTTTTTGTGTTGCTGAAACCCAGCAGCTCCAATACGAGCACCGGTGTCAGGTATTCTGAAGTACTCATGGAGTCAAATAATATCATAAGTTTATTCATGTGTGCTCTGACCCATGATTTCTAGTTAAAGTGAATATTCAGTGGTTTTCTATTTTGTGACAAAACACTTTCAAAATGGCTGAAATTCTGTAATGCTTTAGTCAATAGTGCTGGGAGTGTTTTCACTTCCCTTTCACAAAGCTATTTAAATAGATAAAACATGGGGATTTTGTGTGTCTTTGTTAGCACTATGATTTATTCCACCTTATTTATCACAACTTGAATGTCCTTTATTTTCCTTAAATTTTGGTAAGTATGGGTTTTTGCAATGTATTTCACACTGTAAATACTCTGTTATGCATCTAAAAATATAGATATATGAGCATATTCATTTATTTTTTTTTTCCTTTTTCAGTTTCTTAAACAGTTAGGTATACATCCTGACTGGCAATTTGTAGATGTTTATGGTATGGAACCAGAACTGCTTAGCATGGTGCCAAGACCTGTCTGTGCAGTGCTACTTCTCTTTCCAATAACCGAAAAGGTAAATGTTTGTTTAATGATCAGCAAATCACTTTTGTTGTAAATGAAATGAGAATGAACAGTTTGAATCTTGTACTTTGGTGTCATAATAGAATCAAGATGAGACTCAACCCTTACTGAAGAGACTTCCTAATCAAAAGAGACTTCTTAATTATAAACAACAAAATGCTTCCTTCAGAACCTTCTTTTGATAACCTGACTTGTGTATTTCCAATTTTTTTTCAAGTTTAGGAAAAGCTTATGTGGAAGCACAGAGAAATGCACCTCACATTTTTCTACTGCAGACAATTTAAGGCTTATTTTTTAAATATGCACTGTGAAATGGCACAGTTTTGCTACTTGTAGTAGAAAGCTACAATAGCATAAGTAAAATAAGACATTGGATGTAGAACTATATCAAATGCAACTACTTTTTGAGGTTTTGTACTGTTGTACTTACCAAACTTCAATCCACTTTCAGTCATCAGGACCAATATGGCTTTTGTTTCTTGAACAGATGGGGCATATCTCTAAGATGAAAGAGAATTCCCCCTACTTCTACCTCCATGTTAGACTTCGAAATACTTGATTTGGTTAAATCTTCAAGTCTGCTTATTTTGTGTCATCATATGCTTCTATATGGAGAAGACATCATCTTGCATCTCTCAGTCGAATGTTATGTAGGTTGAAATGTGTGATTCATATTGATATTTCAATTTATGAAAATCTTACGTGATTGTGATAGTCAGCCAAAAAGTTTCAGGTGAATCTGCCCAAACTTCTGCCTTTTAATGTGTTTCTCAAAAAGAACATGTGGTTTATAAGGACAAAACAGTTAGTTCTTAAAGCTTAGCTTCTGAAACAAAACCTGTTTAAACGGAAGAGTGACTAGGTCAGTCCTCTTGCTCATTAGGTCCTGTAAACTTTTGCATTCTCAGTTTTTCCAAAACATCTAGGCAGGCAATCCTTTTCAGGCTTGATTTCAGCCACCTTGACAGTTCTGAATTTAAGCAAACTCTTAACTGTCTTCACCTGTCTTCAGAAAATTTCATTTCCGTCACCTTTGAGGCATTGTATTCTGTATGCTGTGGTTTCTGTCTGGCTGCTTGAGCTACAGATCTGGCTCTTTCTATGACTGTCACTTTCTTTTGCTTCCTGCCTGTGCAAACTTCCTTTCTTGGATTGTGCTATGGGAGCGTCATCCTATGACAAAGAACAACCTTCTTCTTGTTCTAGGTATATCCTATTTCATCCTGAAGAAGCATATGACAAACAGAACCAGAGAAAAAGCATACGCTCTGTTGCATCAATCAATCAAATTTGACCACCAGCCAAATATTTGCAGTTTTCTCCAGCATGTTAATCTTTCAGCAATATAAGGGACACACCTGTTTCTACTAACTGTTTAGCCTGAGTGTGTGCAGGCTGAATTTTTCATGTGAAGTCCCAATGTTCTGAAGCTTTTCTTGTTCAGCATGAACTCCACAAGACTCTTGAGCATTATTTTGTATTTCTAGAGTACTTTTCTTCTTCTCAGTCTCCCTTTCAATACTGCCTGTTATATTCTGCTTTTATTTAATTTATTATTTATTTATGTTTCTTGGCTGCATCTATGTTTATGAAAGTGTACCTCTTAAACAACTTTGCTGCCTTTGTAAACTGCTTTCTATCATGTCTTTGTGCTTCTGTCTAGAAGTTCCTTTCTTTTGTGTTTCCTATATATTGATTTGCTTGAACTTGCTTTTAGGGCAAGATATTCTTGTTTGCATATAGATAATCTGAGAGTTATTGTCCAGTGTAAAGGTCAATGACTTTCTTAGCCTGCATTGTAGACTCTAGACAGAGTGACTACTGGGAGCATTGGGCATTTTGGGCATGGCCCCATGAATGCCTATCATGGGATTGCTCAGGTTTGGAGGGACCTCTTGAGGTGATCTACTCTAACCCTTGCTCAAAATCATATTCAGTGTTCTCAACACTTAATATATTTATTTTTGCCATAGCATTTATTTTGGTTGGCAGGGAGTGAATGGCAGCTATATTGTTTACCTTCTCTAATATGAACTTTTGTCCAATATGCTCTCTAACAATTTTTTCTCAATTAAGGCTGTTTTCGTTAACTTGTAGATATTGTGTCAAATTAAAATGCTATATAAATACTCTTGCTATTACTTAGAACATTCAGAACATTCAGAGAAGTTGCAAATGTGGAATCATGATGCTGGAAAAATTTCTTGTTTCTCTGTCACGAATGGTACATAAACTCTGAGAGAAGTTTCTCATCGGTTTTCAGGAAGAGTTCCTTGATAACATTCTACATTCAAACTTTACTTCTGTCATACTTGTATAAAAAGCCCATCTACTTCAATATTTTTTTTGTCTGCAAAAGTACCTAGTAAAAGAGGCAAAGGAGGAAGAAAGAACAGCATTGTCTGGAACATTTGCAGTTTTCTTTCATCCTTCAGAGAAAAGCAAACAAACAAAAACCCAACAAAAAACAACCTCACCCCAAAAGAACCAACAAACCACAACCAACAAAACCCACAAAACCAGCACACTGTTGCACAGTGTACCAGATTTTAGTCAATTATCATTTTTACAAAAAAGTACTTTAGATTATTTTCTGTAGTAATAGAAACAATTTAGTTTATGTCTTTTGAAGGGCCTGTTTTGAGGCCGTGAACATTATACAAATCTTATTTTATATTCCTGGAAAAGATGAAATGTAAACGTGGAACTTGTAAGAATGCTTCATGCTGATTAAACACCTAAAGTACTATGGTTTGCTTGATAGAGCTTTGAGATCTGTGTCCTTAAAAGCTTTTTGTTGAAGTGAGACAGTGCTTGGATCAAAGAAATATTTTGAACATTTTTGAAATTCTGTTAGGCACCCCATATTTCAAAATCATGTTTTAAGTGTGCCTGGTTTTTGACTAGTGAAAAGGCATTGGTTTAAGAAATGATAGAGCTATTCAGTTGAGTAAGTTTATATATACTCGTTGGACCACATGTGTTGTTTCCAATTACAAGTTGTGTTTTGGTTTTTATTAGGAAGCTGTTGCTTTTTAAAATTATTTTTGCTTGAATAATGTAATCAGTATCTATTTGTACTGTTTGTGAAATGTCTGTAACTTTCCTTCTAGTATGAAACCTTCAGAACAGAAGAAGAAGAGAGAATAAAAGCTAAGGGACAAGATGTCAAATCATCAGTCTATTTCATGAAGCAGACCATTAACAATGCTTGTGGAACAATCGGGCTAATTCATGCTATTGCAAACAACAGAGATAAAATGAACTTTGGTAAGTTGGTTTTGGGTTTGGGTTTTTTTTTGATGGTTGGGGGTTTTTTTGTTGGCTTTTCCCTTTTTTCCTTAACTGTGGGAAGGCTTGGAGGGAGTACTGTATCCAGCCTTGGGGTCCTCAGTGTAAGAAAGACATGGACCTGTTAGAGAGGGTCCAGAGGAGGGCCACAAAGATGATCAGAGGGCTGGAGCACCTCTCCTGTGAGGACAGGCTGAGAGAGCTGGGATTGTTCAGCCTGGAGAAGAGAAGGCTCCGGGGAGACCTTATTGCAGCCTTTCAATACTTAAAGAGGGCTTACAAGAAAGATGGGGACAAACTTTTTAGTAGGGCCTGTTGCAATAGGCCAAGGGGTAATGGTTTTAAACTAAAAGAGGGTAGATTTAGGCTAGATATAAGGAAGAATTTTTTTTGTGATGAGGGTTGTGAAATACTGGAACAGATTGCTCAGAGATGTGGTAGATGCCCCAGCCCTGGAAACATTCAAGGGTCAGGTTGGATGGGGCTCTGAGCAATCTGGTCTAGTTGAAGATGGCCCTGCTCATGCCAACCCAAACTATTCTATGATTCTATAAGGACAGGGTTTGTACTATTTTCTGTGAATATAACCATTTATAAAGGACAATCTCTACTCAAAGAGCATTTCTATCTATAATTATAAAAACAGTATTTCATAGTAATCCAAGAACTAAAGCACTCAAAACATTCAAACTGCAGCAGGTGGCAATTCCTCTTGTATCAGCCTTCAGTGTCTTAAAGATAACAATGTAATTATATCTTTAAATCTTTTGTTGGTTATAAGCATTCTGTAAGCTTTGAATGGTGTTGGAGTTAAAGCATGATTCAAAATGTGTTAATGTTATGTCTTTTTTTTTTTTTTTTTTTTTTTTATCTTCACTGAAGAAGTTCCTAGAAGATTCGTTATCTATGACTCCTGAAGAGAGGGCCAAATATCTAGAAACTTACGAAGTTAGTATCATGGCTTTTTACTTTTATTTGAAATGGTATAAGAATTATTTGCATGAGCAGATACTGTCCTTAGGACTTGATCCAGTGAAGCACTTAACTCGATTTTATATATGAGCTTGTGATCAGCCAGTTGCTACAAAAAAACCTGCTTTGTTAAAGTATTCCTGCCCGCCCATAGCTCAGTCAGCAGAATGGATTTTGTCAATGTTCTTCATGCATATTAATTCACTGGCTTAGTTTAAAATGACTTTGAAATGGATAAGAAATGTATGCATAATCTTTTTGGTGGGTTCAGGATGCAGTTTAATGGTCAATTTAAGCTGATCTGGGGCTATTGCTGAACGGATGGTCCTTCTGCTGCCTCCTTTCATTTCTGCCTTCTAGTCATCTCTCTTTGGCGCTAGCACTTCCGGGCACACAAAGAGCTGATTTAGCTGAAATGTAATCCCTTTCCCCCACTACCCTGAACAATTAGATGAGCTAGCTGATAGTGTGGTTAGCCAGATCATCTGTGTTGTTTCAAAGGATGCGGTAGAAATATCTGGCCAGTGGAAGGGAATAACAGTGCTGTTGCTCCTGATAGTAACGATGATCCTCTCTCAAAATGAAAGTTTTGATGATTTCCAAGTCTGAGTTCAGTTTAAGCTTATTGTGAAATGCTCAGGAATAAGAGTGTTAATATGTGATGAGGGAAGTAGTAAAAAACAGAAAAAGGTTCAATGACATTTTCTGTGGAAAAGTTGGACACAAGATGTCTGATCAGAGCTTCTATCTAAAGTATTTTGTCTGCTCAGGAACCAATATATAACAAAAACACCTGACAATAGTGTTTTCTGTGTGTAAAAGTGTTACAAACTGTTAGGTATTTCATTTGAATTGACTGTGATGAAACTGAAATATTGGTCTCCCAAGATACTTGGAAGTAGAGATTATTTGTTTATTATTTATTTATTTATTTATTACAAGCACTGAGCAAAAAATAACTATAGCTATGGCAATTGCTAAAATGAAGTGTGTACAGCAATTCTTAAAACACCGAAAGTCTCATATAAAGTCTGATTGAAATATGTTTTAATTTTAGGCTATTCGTGTCACTCATGAATCCAGTGCGCATGAAGGTCAGACTGAGGTATTCATTTTTTTAAAAAAATTTTTGTTAATAAGTACTTTGAGTTGAATATAACTTAAATGAAAGCAATCATCTATAAAAGGTTTATAGTGAAATGGAGATTACAGCTTGGTTTGCAGTATTGTGTCATTCGTCAAAAATCAGGGCACAAAATCAAGTGGCATTGTTGGGATGGGAACCAAACTTGAAGCTTTTTAGGTTGCTTGGTTTTTGTTTTTTAAGCTTTTGTATAACATGGATGAACTTTTCAAGCTTCATTTCAGAGTAAAAGAGCCAGTAATAATATTTTTAATAAAAGTTGAGGTTTTAATGTTGCAGATTTGTAGCTGAGACTGTAAGATCCATAGTAATCACACAAGTGGAACAAACATTTTATGAAAGTCTGAAAAGTTTTACTTCAGGAAAAGAAATAGTACAATACTTCATTTGCTATTGTGTATATGCTGTTTGTATACAAATACTAATTAAGATAAATTCTCACTAATACATATATTTATAAGCTTTTATCCCCCAACAGATTGGGTAATAAAAAAATCAACCACAAAACCATAACCAACAAAAAAATCTTAAAATAAAATAAACTTAACATTCAACATTTTTCTGCTTCAATCATTCTAAGGCAGCTTTCTACCTTTCCAGTTTAGATTTCAGTATCTGTTCCACAAAACCAAAATTGATTACGTTGTTGCTAGCACTGCTTTGTTTGACAAGAGAGGAACCCTCCTTTGTTTAGCTGGGATTCCAGTGGCTCATCCACTTTCTTTTTCTTTTGTTTTTGAAGTACAGTAGGTAAGGTTTTCTTTCTTATTATGGCGTATGCAGAGTCTTCTACACACTGCAGGAGAAACCAAAGCAATTCTTTCTGCTTCCCCCTCACCCCACCATCTGGGAACTCTACTTATTCAAGTGAAGGGTGGATGGAACTTGAGAACTGTTTTAACTATTTCTATTCTAGATATTCAACTTCCTTTGTGATGTTTTCTTCTTTTAAAAAAAAAAACAAAAAAACCAAAAAACTTCTTATCTCTTTCTGTAAATTAATCAAGGAATGTTCCATATTTCAAGAAGAAACATGTAAAAACTTCAGCTTTCCTTTCCTTTTCTAAATGAGGGACTCAAAACAAATTCTGGTCTCTTATTTTACAAGTGAGAGTATCCTTTTCTAGGTATTCCTGGTAAGCTCAGTAAGAGGGAGGCTATTGGAGATTAATTCCACAAATTGTTGAAGACCGAATCTTTTCGTAAGATCCTTGTGCAAGAAAAATTTCTTAGTTGTTTTGATGTACTGTGACATTCATCCAGGGAATGGTTTGTCTATGCATTCTTCCGTCAGAAGTGATGGAATACAAAAACAAGGGCTGTACAGGTCTCAAGAGTCTTTGTAAGGATTCAGGAAGTGTCTGAGCGATGATGGAATCTCCTAATAAGGGACAGTTAACTTCTTGAACTTCCACAAATTAATTTGTTTCCTGATCAAGATAACCACAATACAAAAGATTAAAAATTGTGTGGAAAGATGAAGAGGGTTTTTTCATAATAAAAATTTACAAGATTGTCTTAACAACCATGTATAAACACAAATATTGAATAGGTAGTTTCCTTGCCAAATATTTATTATTCCATTTTGCATAACTGAATCCAAAAGTAATTCAATCTAGATATTCCTTAGACTGGTCAAGTAACTTTTTCCTGTCCTCCTCTTTCTGAAGTTGAACTAGTACAATGGCTGAATACATGTCGTAGGGCCGTTTTTCAGAATAGTACAGATCAATCAACCAAAGAGGGAAGAAATAAACAAGTTATCATACTGGAAAAACTAATTGCCTGAAGATCCTGCCCTACCATAGCATAGTTAAGTTGCCAGCAAGGCTTCACCTTTCATCTGTACAGGAGGAATTGCTTTAAAGTACAATACTTTTTAAAGAAACTAAAATCCGAAATGCAAATATGCTGAGAAGCGCAATTGAGGGTTGGAGCAAGTCAATCTCCTAGTCTTTTTCCTTCCAATGGTACATTTCAAATGTTGCTGTATACCCCGTCGTGAAGGAGCTGATGAATAGCATGCCCTGGAAGATGCTGAAGTCATACGCAGGTCATACAAGGATGTTGACTTGTCCTGCAGGTAAAATCGATAGTTTCTAGCACCTTGGAGCAAGAGAGAAGAGAATCCCATTCCTCCTGCATATCTGGTATTGTTATGATTACTTTCCTGAGAATTTCTGGAGCACTCGAAAGGAACGGGTTTGCTTTCCTATGTCTCTGTTGAGTTTTTGTTCTTTCTCCCCATAGAAGAACAAGGGCATTTTGCACAGAAATGTTTCCGTTGAATAAAAATGGCTTATGTAGTTGTTTATTTATAGTAAGCGCTGTAATTTTGCAACCTTTCCAGATCTCCTGCAGAATTAAAGATTAAGAAAACGTGGAGGCCTAGTATTTTAGGGTGATTAACTTGGATTGAGTGCTTCCTAAGAACAGCCTGCTCTGTGGGAGGTTTTATCCCTTGGGTATGTAGGTATTGCATACTACTGTCCACTCAAATTCTTCTGAAAACGTTGTGCAAGCTCAACTGTGTCTGTTAGAGAGAATAACTGCCATACCTCCCACTTTTGGAAGTTGGCCTTGCTGATTTTGTTAAGAAACTATGTAACTGCTTTCAGATGCTGTTCTTTCCCTCCCCCAAGCAAAACACACCACCACACCATAGATCAGTATTCTGAGATAAAAGTAAAATTTTCTGGAATCTTGAGATGTGGCAGGTTTAAAAATAACAAAGAATACAGACAGGTTTTCTTCTGATAATATTTTTTTTTTGAGCTCTGATTTCTCAGATCTTTGAGGATTCAACCTTTTACTGCTTCTAAATGAAGCCTTTATTTCTTGATCACTCCTTGACAGTCTTGCTAAGCCATGTCAGTGGCTACTTCATTTTTACAATACACAAGTGGATTTTCTGCTTTTGTTTCTGTTCTATGTGGGTATTTCAAACCTTGAAATAAAGGAAGTCTATCTAGAGATAAAACATTAGCAGTAATAGAGTGAAGCAATGCTGTATTTCTAGTATCTGTGTATTTATTTCATCTATTCAACTTGTCCAGTGGGTAAGATTTAATTCTCGTTTAGAACAATCTATAATCAGATTACTTTTAATTTCTTATGTTTTTAAGAAAAGTTGTATTTGGGAAAAAAAAAAAAAACAAACCCCTATCTGACAAGATATTACTTGTATAACTTTAATATTAGTGGACTGCTAGATTTTACATTCCAGTTCGTGATTGCTGGAAGAGAAGAATTACAGTGGTTAGTTTGCTTCTGGGATTTATCATTCATGTGTGATTCATTTAGATGAAGTATTAAGATGAATTGCTAAGCAAATGGATTGAAGCTGAGAGTGTTGTGCCTTGATGGGTGCTTTAACAGGCTTCCCAAGTTTGATAGTGGTGATTAATTCATCTAGTTTCAAAAAAAAAAAAAAAAAAAAAAAAGCTGTATTCCAAGCTGTTTAATATAGCTTTTGGTATTGCATTCAAAACTTTTACAGGCCAGCTATAGACTGGATTAGAACTCTGTGTTTTGGGGAGGTTTTTTGTATTAAAATGTGAGGTTTTTAATGAAGTTTACTGAATTTTTATTAAATGACTTAAATATTTTACTTAAAAATAGAGAAGGTTTTTTTGCTCTTTCAAAGAGATTAAATGTTAAGAACAGTTAAGCAGTTTTCATTTCGCTAATTCATTTGAGGTTTGCAAATTAAAAGGATTGTAAATTTGAGCTTATCCTTCAGGCCATGTTTTGGACTGGGTTTGATTCAAGTTCTGTGCTAAGACTGCCAGATTCTGTGGCTCCATGGGTCACTTTTTTGCTACAGTAGAGCAAATAGATAAAGCAGTCCTATGGGTATTCCTATGTGTAAAAAATGTAGGTCTGTTTAAAATTATCTTAGTAGCAAGCAGTAAGATCTGGGAATAATTCCACAGGAGAAGTGTGTTGTTGGTTTCAGGGGTTTCAAGGGTGGTTTGATTCTGGTTCCGTGTTCTAGTACCATAATGAGGGCAATTAATGTAAGAAAGACTCTTGTAACAGTCTTTCTGTTAAACTTTATGCTGCTGAAGCTTATGCTTTAAGTGACAGGTATTTCATATAGAAAGCTGCCAAAAAAGAGATCTAGGTCCTTTTGATACAGCTCCATGGATTCAGCTCGCTCTCCTTTCTATGTGATGGCTCCTGAAAGGCAGCTATTGCTGAGACTACAACAGTTGCTAGGTACTCTTTATTCTTTCATGAGTCTTCTGCTAAGCATATAGTTTTGTTTATATTTTCCGCATCTTCAGACATCCTAGATAGTATAACTTGCTTCTTTGCAGAACTGCACATGCTTTTAAGGTGGTCCTCATATTGTTGCTTCGTACTGAGCAGCGTTTAGTGTTTGAGTTTGTTTTGCCTATTTTTTTTTCTTTTTGTTCTTCCTGTGCCTCCTTTGGCAGTTCATGAACTGCTGATACGCTGTACTACCACACATTTTAACATTTCTGATACTCTCTTATAAAAAAAAAACCAACCAGCAACCAAACAAAAAAAACCAAAAAACAAACCACAGCAAAAGACATAAACAAACCTTCAAAAATATTTAAAAGACAATATAGTTTGTGGATGCTAGAGCATCCATGTTAGCCGTCTGATCTACAGTGATCATTAATGAGGAAGTTATGGCAAAATCTGACGGAGGAAAAGTAGCAGTTAATAGCACTGATGAGGGTTGGGTTCATATCTGACTTTTTTTGTATTACTACTTTAGATTGCTTTCTTTCAAAACAATCGTAGTAACTATTTTCAAGTAACAGATCAGAGAATTTGAGGGGAGAGTTTTTTGAAAACTGGAAAACATGTCATTACATGAAAGACTTTCCAGGTCTACAGTCTTTTGCAGAACAAATAGCCCTTTTGAATTTGGAGTTGGAGAAGAAATGTATTTTGTATGCTACCTACTAATTTCCATTAATAAT